TTTAAATGATCCTAAAGCAGGTAGGGCATGGATAGATATTTGAAAACTACTGCAGGGTAATGAGAAGTAACAAAAAGATTTTAAGATAAAGAATAACATACTAAACACTGTGGTGGTAATGAGGAGGGCAGACTACAAAGGGGAGTCTAGTAGAGAAGCTCACTCTGGGGACAGTTACAATAGCCAGGAGAAAGAATACGGGGATTAGAGAAAGATAAAAAAAGATAAATCTGACCGATACTAAAGATGGAGTTTTTTTACTAGAATTGGTAAAATTAAGTGAAAAGTTGTGCCAAAGTAAGAGAATACAGTAGGTTGTATAGATTTTAAGGAATATTAAAATGCTGACTTTGAGGACAATCAATTGAGTTCAATAGACATTGTAAGTTCAGGCCTGCTGCGGAGACCAAAAGGCAGAGCTCCAGATGCATTAGTGAGGAACCATTAGTTCATGGACAATAGATGGAAGATTGACAAGTGAAAGAATAAAATATAAGAAGAAACTTAAGCACATAATTTGGAAAATGTAACATTATTATTATTTTTAAGACAGGGTCTCATTATCTTACCAAGGCTGGTGTCAAACTCTGGGCTCAAGCAATCCTCCCACCTCAACCTCCCAAAGTGCTGGGATTATAGGCGTGATCCAACATGCCCACTCTAGAAAATCCAACATTCAAAGCATGAGGGAAAACGAAAGTCCCTCAAGGAAATAGAGCAATAGCCTGAAAGATTGGAGGAAACCGAGAGAGGGGTATCACACAAAACCAAGGGAGAAGAACATTTCATGAAGATGGAAGTGGACACTGACAAGTATACAGAAAGGCTGAGAAGTACTAATATAAACAGGAAGTCATTAGTGAGTCAAGGGGCAGAAGGCAGTTTATAATGGGTTAAAGAGTAAATGGAATATGAAATATGAGGGCAGACAGCCTTTGAAGGAGCTTGCTTGAAAGTAAGGAACAGTAACAGGCCAAAGCTTGAAGATGAAGATTTGGCAGACTGATGAAACACTCAGAAAAAAAATTTGCCTCCTAACTGACTTCAAATATAAATATGACTAAGACTCAGCAAAGCCAGGTGCAGTGGCTTCACCTATAATCCCAGCTACTTGGGAGGCTAAGGTGGGAGGATTGCTTGAGGCCAGGAGTTTGAGACCAGCCTGGGCAACACAGCAAGACCCCTTCCCTTAAAAAAAAAAAAAAAAAAAAGACTCATTTTTTCACACCTGTGTTATCTATCAGTTACAACATTGCTCTTTCATTCTCTATGTTTTTGTTTAAAAAGGGGGTTATAAGCTAGCAAGAATGGGTACAATGGAGAATACAATTTAAAAAAAAATATTCTTGGCCAGGGGCAGTGTACACAGTACATGTTGACCACTTAAAATATTTTACATATATTTGCAAAACTGTGTTATCTATTATCTATCCTGTCATAAGAATGAAAGGATAAAATGATGGTCAATTAGCAACTTACTCTTGTCCTCAGCTTCAAAGAAACAATAAAAAATAAGTTACATAGTGTTTTCCTTGTATTACCCATTCCCTAAGACTCTCCTTTTCTATCATGTAACATTTAAATACAGTATCTCTAGTAAGACATTTCAATTATCTAAAAGTAAAACACCATGTGGAGGCCAAAACAACTCCATCTTGGATACTAATCTGCCATATTGACTTTCAATTAACCCCAGTTCCAGGAAAGCCTCTAAGAGGTCCAGTTTATCTACTGTTCCTTGTGTAAGAGCACATACTTACCACAAATCCTGCCCTTATGACAAAAAAAAAAAAAAAAAAAACCTTGACATAATTATACTTCAATTGTCCTACACATCCCCCTTGAAGCACGTATACCTCAAGGGGATACATACGGTATTTAAGTCCTGGGTGTGGGTGACAATAGTGTGGGACTCCACCATCTTGTCTTGCTACTGCCTGAGCCATAGACATGGCTGCTGCTTCTAAGACTCAAATATTTCTTTCTGAGGAACTGGATATTTCAGCCACTGTCTTTGGCCTCTCAGCTTCCTTAGACTTGAGGCAAGTTTGCACTGACCTACCCACTGTGGAACAGATCATATTAAATCCAACTCCTGTTAGAATGCTTCTTTTAAAATTGAACTCCAAAGTTATACCAAAACAAAATTTATCTTCATACTAAAACCACCTTACTTTTAAAAAGAAAAAAATGTAGAAATTAAATAAACTGTAGATCCATTTACTGAATAATCAAAACACAAAGCCAGCAGCAAATATTCTAGGATTCATAAGTACATCTTCATTGCTTTTATGAGTTCTTATTTATACTTCATGGCATAGTGTGTTACTGCTCTTCCATTTTACACATATATGCAAATAATGAAACTACTAAATAAAGTTAGTTCAATAAAAATATACAAATTTTTGGAAGCACAAAGGAACTTCAATTAAATTGGAACAGTAATTCTTCACTACCACTTATAGCAAGTGTTAAAACTTTTATAATAACTACACAGTGAAGTATCACTCCATGAGTACAGGGACCTTATCTATCTTGTTCTGGTACTGAAAACACTTTTGCAAAAACTGTAACAGTGAGAGACATCTAACATAGCTGACTCCATCTTGCTTTTAACCTCATAAGCTAACTGCTTTTGCTCATCCTGACACACAGGCCAAGCTGACTATGGGAGGAACTTAGTTTACAGTTCCAACTTTAAAGCAAGGATGATAAAAGCCCTTTCTCAAAATTAACTCTTTGGGGACAGAAACTGCCATTGTAAAACTAATGAAAGACCACAAACAGAATTATGGTAGGGATCTGAATTCTGTTAAGGTTTAGGTATTGTTAATAATAACTTGTCATTGTTTCCTAATTTGCCTTTTTGTAACTGCCTACTACTCAGGAGTCACCAGCTGGTGGTTATAAGATTTGCAACTTCTCAATTGCCCCTACTGATAACATCGCTATTGTGAAACCTAAGACTGGTGTTTGAGGTATTTTTCAGACTTTGCAGTGGACCAACTGACACCACCCAGGTGTCCTTCACCCAGGAAATGACTCAGCACATGAAGACAGTTTAAATATTCCTGTGATTTCATCCCCAACTCAACCAATCAGCAGTGCCCATTCCCTATCCCCCTGACTACCAACCTATCCTCAAAAACCCTACTCGCCAAATTCTTGGGAAGGAAGATTTGAGAAATATCACACATCATCGTCACTGAGCCACACTGCAATTATTAAACTCTCTGCTGCAACAACCATCTCACAGCTTGGCCTATGTGTAGGGATATGCTTTTTCTGTGCAGCAGGCAAGAAACTTGCTAGGCTGTAACAGTACCTGGCAAAATACCCAGTAAAGACTGGGTTTTGTGGTTAAATGCTCAATCAATATGTATAAATAAATGAATAGAAGTAATAATAGCTAATAAAATGTGCATAATATGGGCCAGACGCACTGGCTCATGCCTATAATCCTAACACTTTGGAAAGCTGAGGTGAAGGATTGCTCGAGTCCAGAAGTTACCATCCTGGACAACATGGCAAGGCCCGATCCCTACAACAAACACAAAAATTAGCCAGGTGTGGGGACACATGCCTATAGTTCCAACTATTCAGGAAGCTGCGGTGGAAGGCTCCTGGCTGAGCCTGGGAGGTCAAGGCTGCAATGAGCAGTGATCATGCCACTGACTCCTGCCTCGGTGACAGAGTGAGACCCTGTCTCAAAATAACTAAATAAATAAATAAGCAAGCATAATATGCACACACAATATGCAAGCATCTTATGCCAGGCTCTATACTAAGCATGCTACATGCATTTAATCCCGCCAATAATACAAGTATTATTATATTCTCCATTTCTCAAATACGGAAATAGAGGCTTAGGGAGGTTACTTTGTCCAAAATTAAAACCAGAACATGATGAAGCAGTTTAATTCCAGAGCCTTTGCTCTTAACCAGTATGCCTGGAAATGACAGAAACAGATTTTCAACTCCAGTAACATCTTGTCAATAATTATTTAAAAGGGGAAAAAAAAACTGTGACAGAACAAAAAAAGGACGACCTATTATATGCCAAGTACTAAACTAGGCACTAGAAATACAAGATAAATTAAGTAAGATCCATGTCCTCAAAGAGTTCACAGTCAAGATATGTAAACAAAAAAATGTAATACAGTATGAGTTCTAAATTATAAACTGCTATGGATATAAAGAAGATTCAAAAATTGGGCTCATGAGACTTCACATGCACATTAAATCACTAGATTTTACATATTTATGAGAAGAGTATTCTAAAAGAAGGGTCACCCACAAAATCATAAAGGATTTAAGTACATGTGATAGATAACTAATAGAGTTAACAGGCTAGGGGGCTTGATAAGAGTGAAGGTGGGCTAAGGTGGGGAATATGAGGACACAAGAAAAGTGTACTAAAACTTTATATGCCACTGTGGTATACAATTGTCCCTTGGTATCCATGAGGGACTGGTTTCAAGACCTTCCTTGGATACCAAAGTCAACCAATGCTCAAATCTCTGATATAAAAAGGGGTACTTGGTGGGCGCAGTGGCTCACGCCTGTAATCCCAGCACTTTGAGAGGCTGAGGTGGGTGGATCACCTGTGGTCAGGAGTTTGAGACCAGCCTGGCCAACCCTGTGAAACCCTGTCTCTACTAGAAGTACAAAAATTAGTTGGATGTGGTGGGAGGTGCCTGTAATTCCAGCTACCTGGGAGGCTGAGGCAAAAGAATCACTTGAACCTAGAAGGCGGAGGTTGCAGTGAGCAGACATCGCCCCACTGCACTCCAGTCTAGGCAACAGAGGGAGACTCTGTCTCGAAAAAAAAAAAAAGAGGAAAAAAATGGGTACTATTTCCACATAATCTATGCACACCTCCCATATACAGTCAGGCTTCACTTAACAATAGGAACATATTCTGAGAAATGCATCCTTGGGTGATTCAGTCACTGTGCGAACATCACAGGGTGTGCTTACAAAAACCTAGATGGTATAGGCTACTATATGCCTAGGCTATATGGTATAGCCTGTTGCTCCTAGGCTACAAACCTGTATGACATGTCACTGTACTACATACTGTAGACAGTTATAACACAATGGTAAGTATTTATGTGCTGTACCCTAAAAACACAGCATTATAATCTCATGGGACCACTGTCACTGAACAAAATGCTGTTGTGTGATGCATGACTATATTTTAAATAATCTCCAGATTACTTATGATACCTACTACAACATAAATGTTCTGTAAATAGTTGCCATATTGATTGTTTAGTAAAAAATAATAGAAAAAAAAGTCTATATGTTTAGTACAGAGGCAATATATATATATATTTTTTGAGACAAAGTCTTGTTCTGTCACCCAGGCTGGAGTGCAGTGGTGCAATCTCATCTCACTGCAACCTCCGCCTCCCCGGTTCAAAGAATTCTCGTGCTTCAGCCTCCCAAGAAGTGGGGATTACAGGCATGTACCACCATGCCTGGCTGATTTTTGTATTTTTAGTAGAGACAGAGTTTCACCATGAAGGCAGGCTGGTCTCGAACTCCTGATCTCAAATAATCCACCCACGTCAGCCTCCCAAAGGGCTGAGATTACAGGTGTGAGCCACTGTGCCCGGCCATTTTCCTAAGATTTTCAATCTGTGGTTGACTGCATCCACAAATGTGGAATGCATGGATGTGGAACTCACTGACAGGAACAGCCAACTATAATATGAAATAAATTTAGTCTCTGTCCCTCCTACTTGTTACCTAGTTTCTAAAATCTGTGGAATTTTCTGAGTGATAGAAATATCTTTTGTTATTTATGACTCTTTTGATAACACCTGAGTTTATGTTAGTCACATAACTGTGGGAAGCCCCTGTATAATCAGATGGGACCAGTCACCAGAAAGACTAAGTGCTTAGAAGAGAGAGCTGGAACTTTCAGTCTTACCCACCAACTTCAAGGAAACGTGAGTGGAAAGGGTAGAGATTAACCTCTATAAAGACTCTTGAACAATGAGATTTATGAGCTTCTGGTTTGCTGAATGAGTGGAAGCGCTGGGAGGGTGGCCTACCCAGAGAGGGCACAGAAGCTCCCCCCAACTCCCCAATATCTTACCCTTATCCATCTCTTCATCCAGCTGTTCATCTGTATCCTTTGCAATATGTAAACATGTTTCCCTGAGTTCTGTGAGTCATTCTAGCACATTAATCAAACCCAAGGCGGAGGGGGGGATCAAGGGAGCCCCAATCAGCAGCCAGTCAGTCAGCACAGTTTAAGCCATTCTAATGGTGTGCAGTGGTATCTCACTGTGCATTCTCCTAATGTTTAGTTATGTTAAACATCTCATGAACTCATTTTACACTCTATTTCTTCTTTTAAGTACCTGTAAAAGCTTATTAAATATTTTTAATTAAACTGTTATCTTATTGTTGAGTTTTCAGAGCGCTTTATGCATTCTGAAAATAAGTCCTTTACAGGTGATTTGCAAATATTTTTCTTCCACCTTGTAACTTGTCTTTCATTTTCTTCATAATGTCTTTTGCAAGCAAAGTTTTTAACCTAATGAAATCCAAATTATCAATCTTTTTATTTTATGAATCATGCTTTTGTTGTCATCTGACAAGCTTCTTGCCTAAACTCAAGTTACAAAGATCTTCTCCATGTTTTCTTCTAAAAGTTTTACAGCTTTATCTCTCACATTCAGATGAGTGATACACCTTAAGTAAATTTTTGTATGTGTGTGGTTTAGGCAGAGGTTCATTATTTTTTTATAAGGATGCCCAATAGTTCCAACACCAAGACTGTTCATTTTCCACTGAATTGCCTTTGCAACTTTGTAGATTATTATTGGCCTTCTTTGTATGGGTTAGCCTATGTCCAAAAACTATTTTATTTCATTTGATCTATATGTCTATGCCTTTGCCAATACCACTGTCTTGATTATCCTAGTTCTGTACTAAGTTTTAAAATCATATAGTTTGATTTTTCTTTTTTTTTGCTTATATTTTATATTTTTAGACAGGATCTCACTCTGTCACCTAGGTTGTAGTACTGTGGCACAATCATAGTGCACTCAAACTCCTGGACTCTGGCAATCCTCCCATTTCAGCCTCCCAAACAGCAGAGGACTATAGGCATGTACCACCACGTTGAGCCTTTTTTTTTTTTTTTTAAATTAGTTTGTAGAGATGGTGATCTCACTATGCATTTTTTAATTGACTGAAATTATATATATTTATTGTATAAACATGATGCTTTGAAGACATGTATACGCTGTGGAATGGCTCAATCAAACTAACAGCATGCCTCACAAACACAACATTTCTAATGAGAAGAACATTTAAAGTCTATTCTCTATGTAGTTTAATTTTTTTCCAACATTATTCTTCTTTTCCAACATCGTTTTTGCTACTCTAGGTCCTTTGCCTTTCAATATTAACTTCAGAATCAGCTTCTCTATAACTACAAAAAGTACTACTGGGATTTTTATTATTATTTCATTAAATCTATAAATCAATTTGGGGAGAATCAATATCTTTACTATAGTGAACCTTCCAATTCATGAATATGGTATGCCTCTCCATTTATTTAAATCTTCTTGTATTTCTTTAATCAGGGTTTTATAAAGTTTTCAGCATAAAACTCCTGCATATACTTTGTTGCATTTATAACCTACATATTTCATTTTTTCAGAGCTATTGAAATTTTCAAAAAATTCAGTTCTCAATTGTTCATTTCTAGTACACGGAAATATGGTTGCTTTTTGTGGCCTGATCTTGTATCGCTTGCTAAACTCATTTATTTTAGGAAGTTTTTATAGATTATTGGGATTTTCTATATTGACAAATCATGTCATCCACAAACAGGAACAGTTTTATTTACTCCTTTTAAGTCTGTATGTCATTATTTCTTTATATATCTTTGCTGCATCAAACTCAGTCTCTTCTTATTCTGGGTTGCTGATGACACAAATGTTAGATGTTTTGGTATTACTCATAGGTCACTGAGGCTCTATTTATTCTTTTACATGTTTTTCCTTTGTTGTTCAGGTTAGATCATTTCTATTGATCTGTTTTCAAGTTCAGTGACTCTTTCATCTACCATGTCCATTCTGCTATTGAATACATTGAGTTTTTTATGTCTGTTATTGCACATCCTGGGTCTAAATGTTCCATTTCATTGTTCTTAATATATTCTATTCCCTTGCTAAGACTGTCTGTCTTCCTGCTCATTCCTGGAGCAAAGTCTTAATCTGATTTAAAGTCTCTTTGATATAATTTTAATATCTGTATGATCCTGGCATTGGTATCTATATTCTATCTTTTTCTACGTGAGTTCAGATGTTTCCGATTCTTTTTAAGCAGGGTGATTCTAGGTTGTATTCTAGACATTTTGAATATTATATCATGAGACTCTAGGTCTTATTCAAGTCCCACCATGAATATTGGTATTTTTGCTTTAGCCAGTCATTGGCCCAGTTGAGTTCATGCTTCAAGTTCTGACCAGCCTTCTGTAGGTTGTATTTCTAATGACAGTTCAGTTTGCAAAACTTTTGCAGTTATATTTAATGTGTTCCATAAGTAACCCCACATAATTTCCAGTTTGGGATGTAGGTAGTGGTCTATTCCATAATTCAATTCTCAAAGTCCATATATGCTGTTTAGGATCAGACCTATGCATGCACAGCTTGGAGGTCAGCTCAAGAGTCCACAAGCAACTTTAGGTGGTCAGTTTCCCAAGTTCCTCCCTCTTCTACAATCTTTCATTTCACTGGGGCTCCCCTTTTCCAGTCTTCCAGTAGAACTCTGGGGTTTTATTAACAGCACTCTGCAGAGTGCTTTCCATGACTGTGCTCACATCAGGCAAGGGCAACAGCAAAGGGAGAAAAAAAGCAGTTAGGGATTTGCCCAACTTTTTTCAGACCACAGCTCCTCCAATCTGAGAGGAAGAATTCTCTCTATTTTAGGCTCTTGCCTGCCCCCATTAAGGCCACTGCAGCCACTATCAAGAACTGTTTTGAGGCCTGGGTATAAGAGAATAAAGAAAATAAAAAAAGAGAGAAAGATGTAGGATTTCCATGCTTTCTCTGGGCATTAGGAGACCCCTTTCCTCCTCCTTGAGTCAGAACTAGAAGGCTTCTCTTGATGCATTTTCTGTCCATGTCAATGCTCACTTCCAAGTTCCAGGATACATTAAATTCAGGCTGGGGCATACTGGAAGAAAAAAATGGCAAACTCACTGCTGGTTCAATGGTACTTTCAATTCTGGTCTTCTTCCACAGTCTGTCCCTACAATTTACTTTTCAGAATCCTCAAATAGCCACTTTAAGAATTTTGCCCAGGTTTTTAGCAGCATTCAAGTAGGAGAGACATGAAGTGTGCTTATGCCATCTTATCTGGAACCAGAACCTGGACTACAGTTTTTGGTAACAAACTTTGTAGAACTGATTATTTTAAACTACTTGTATGACGTTGATTTTTAAAAATTAAAAATAAATCCTGTAATTATCTTATTGAGGCAGAGGGAAAAAGCAAGTTAGCAGAATCACATTTTTTTAAAAGCATATATACCTTTGGACATTACATGTATGCAAAAAAAAAGTGAAGTTCTTAATTGCACTTTGCTTCATGTCTTTGAATCTTGTTTTACCTGTGGATTTTTATAAATATTAGGACTACTATATGTTTTTTAAAAGAAGGAAAAAAAAAGCAGGTATTATCCAAAGTGTGAGAAAAAGGAAGCAGTTTGCAGGTGAGAGCCTGTAAGCCTTAAGAAACTGAAAACACTTCAGGATGACTGGCACTCTGGGTATAAGCTCAACATTTTCTATAAAAGAAGCAGAAGAAGCAGGCAAAGGTCAGTTCCATGTTTTGTATGCCATGTTAAGGTATGTGGACTTCATATGAGAAAAAGAAGACTATAAACAGTTTTTAGCAAAGGTTGGGGAGTGAAACAACTGTTTGGTATGTCTGAAGGATCACTCTTGCTGCAAAACATTAAGGTGAATAGAAAATGAACCTAAGTGACTGAATTGAAGGGACACATTGAGTTGAAGAACAGCATATATAGTTTGATTCCATATGTTGTTGGGGAAGGAGGATAAGGGAGATTTTATATATGCATATATATGTAAACAGATTATATATATTATGTTAGACATATGATTTTATATATGTGCGTGTATATATATCTACACGCTGATTACATAGAGTTGATTATAATATGCATAGAACATTTCCGGAAAATACACAGGAAACTGGTAACAAGTGGTTAACCGTGGAGAAGAAAGTGAGGGGCTTAAAGGAAACTTACTTCTCACTTTATTCTGTTGTGCTGATTTTTAAGTTTCTTACTGTGACCATTTACACTCTTAAAAAGGTTTATTAGTGAAATGGAAGGAGGCTTTATGCATGAACTGGATATCAGTTATCTATGAATTATATTAAAACAAGATAAAGTATGAATGAGTCTAACATTCAGTAGCACTGTTCTACCATAGCCTTAGCACTCAAACACTACTATAGATCTCCCCACACATAAGATATTACCAACTGTTTTTATTAAATGAAGTTTTACTCTGTCACCCAGGCTGGAGTACAGTGATGCGATCTTGGCTCACTGCAACATTCACATCCTGGGTTCAAGCAATTCTCCTAGCTCAGCCTCCGAAGTATCTGAACTACAGGTGTGCGCCAGCACATCCAGCTAATTTTTGTACTGTTAGTAGATACAGTGTTTCACTACGTTGGCCAGACTTGTCTCGAACTCCTGACCTCAAGTGATCCCACCTCAGCCTCCCAAAGTGCTGGGATTATAGGCATGGCCACAGCGCCCAGCCATTACCAGCTATGTATACATTAAGTTCACAACATAAAATAGCTTTTAATTACATTACAATATAATGGGTATAAAGGGATAAAGTAAAATATCTTCTCCTTCCCTAAACCCTCTGATTCTAATCACCTCAGGGGCTTCCTGAGTTATATGTGATTCTAAATGTTCTTTATATATTTATATATAGAGATAGCATATTTTTATATACTTTATATATTTATATATCAATTTATATAGAGATCATACATAAATATGTACATACGTTTTTAGGAAAATACACATATATTCTATTCCATTTCAAGGAAATAGACCTCTCCTCCTTAAAATAATATGTGTCATTTTTCTAAACAAAAGCAGAGTTAATGAATAAATGAATCCCCAAGCCTACAGATAATGTTACATCTTCCAAGGAGAAAAATGTTAAAATGAACATACTCAACAGGTGAAGTTCTCAGAGACCTCCATACCCCCTTTGATGGAACAATGAACATCAGCAAGGACAAGCAAAAATGCACAGGATAAAATAAGCAAAAGAGTAAATTATATGTTTACATAAGGTTAAAGGATATAATGAAGGGTAAGGATGTATCTCTAATTTTTCAGGTCCCAGTATGTAACTATTTTGCTCTCCCACAAAAGGTCCCTGTGGAGCAATTTTCGGTCTTCTATACTGGATAAACCAGCAGTCTAATCCACAAATTACATATTTCTTCTATTCTTATGACTGGGAAAAAGGAGTAGTCATACTTTGCAGCAGTAGCTGGAGACTTCAAGCAGGGAAGGTGTAACAGGTGCAGCTGCTCTCCTGTAATAGTAACCCTCCTTCCCAACTCTCAGCTTGTGCTCTGCAGCCTAAAAGGCAAAAATAAAATCCAGGACCAACATTTCAGCGTAAAAAAGAAAAAAATCCCTGAAAATCAAAACAAAATCATTTCCTCTTCATGACCTATAAGGAAAAATGTAGTTTTTCCTGTGTTTATACGAGGCAAGACAAATTAATTCCCAAATATCTCACCTGAGAACAAGCTTGTTTTGTTATCAAACAATGACATTTATTCTACATTTTTTTTTTTCAGTATTAGTTGCACCTCCACTCACTTTAGGGGACATAAAGGAGAAAAATTTAAAATAATTAAATAATCCTTCAATGAATTACCTTTTCATCCAAGGGAATAAACAGAAAAACATCAGTTCTACTCAGGTTGGTGCACTGAAAAATGAAAAAGTACAAGAGATAATGCTGATCACTCACAGCATAAAGTAAGGAGCTAAAATGGGACAGAAGAGCCAAACAATTTCTATTCAATCACTGACTTAAGTAGTGATTTTTAAATATAATCATCTTCATCAGATTGAACATACTATGAAGAGAACACACATAAGAATAAATGAGCATGCCTGTAATCCCAGCTATTCGGGAGGCTGAGGCAGAAGAATCATACGAACCCAGGAGGTAGAGGTTGCAGGGAGCCGAGATGGCACCACTGCACTCCAGCCTGGGCAATAGTTTGAGACTCCATCCCCCCTCCAAAAAAAAAAAAAAGAATGACAAATCAGATCTATGGAATATTTTTACTTATTTATTTACTTAGACGCAGGGTATCACTCTGTCACCCAGATTAGAATGCAGTGGCATAATTATGGCTCACTGGAGCCTTGACCTCCTGGGCTCAAGTAATCCTCCCACCTTGGCCTCCTACGTAGCTGGGTTCACAGGCACACATCATGATACTTGGCTTTTTTTTTTTTTTTTTTTTNGTTTCTCACTATGTTGCTCAGGCTGATCTCATACTCCTGGCCTCAAGTGATCCTCCTGCCTTGGCTTCCCAACGTGCTAGGATTATAGGCATGAGCCACAGAATACTTTTAAAAGAAAAAGATTTTGTTGTGTTCAAGTAAATATTTACATACCAATTAGAAGCCAGAAAACAATGTATAGACTTTTAAAGATCCTAAGAAGACTTCCTTTGATAAAACGATACACTGTATTAAGTATAATTACAGCAAGTCCTCTTTTAATGTCATTGAGAGGTGCTTTTAGTAAAACAACATGTAACATAATTTGGTCCTCAAAAACCCTTATTGAGTTCAAAGTCATTTTGTCATAACATTGGTGAGGAAAAAGAATTGGTTTTGTATTCATCGTTTCACTTTGCAGTTTCCAACTACCTACTGAGACTTAACTGAGGACTTACTATAATAGGAATTTTACAATATTCTGAATTCCTAAAACATTAGACCAAACTATATGCAAGAGTTTAAAAAGAAAAACAAAGAAAACCTCAATTCCTTAAACCAAATGAAAATTTTCTGGAAGATCCAGGGGACTGTCCTCCATTATAACAAGGAATTGAATCTTTATTATGACACGGTCTTGGGACTCTGAGCCCTAGTCATTCCAAAGGTGAGTAACAACAAGTATTTATAGCACTTTTTGGCAAATTATTCCAGAACCTCAAAATTTATTTTTCTTACTCATAAAAAAATCAACAATAAAGTTTATGAAGTAAATAACCAGAAACGGAAGAGGTATGTTATCCTATCTTCCCACATCAATTTACAAATGTATGCTATCACTGAAATGAAGAAACGCTGTGCTATTATTTTGTCAGTATGCATAATATAAAAGTTTAAATATACATAATATCTGCCTTTTAAGAGGCCTGCAATTTAAAAGAGAATACAAATTTATTTATTTATTTATTTATTTTTGAGACAGATTCTCACACTCTTGTCACCCAGGCTGGAGAGCAATGGCACAATCTTGGCTCACTGCAACCTCTGGCCTCTTGGGTTCAAGTGATTCTCCTGCCTCAGCCTCCTGAAAATTTAAAATTTCTTAAGTACCACACCACAAGTTGAAAAGTACACAAGATAATAAACAAGGTAAAATACAGTCCTTATTAAAACGTATCGAGAGAAGTGTGTTTGCCCAATAGCAATTAGTACCCTAGTGGTCATATCGTAGTCTCAATTGTTTCCCAATATAAGGAAACACATTTACTAGGAGAAACAGGGTTCCTGATTCTGAATATGGCATAGAAAAAGTTTACCGAAAATCTGAAATACTCTGCTGTGCCAAAAAACAAGGATGACATCAAAGAATATTGAAGTTATACAAGAAGAACACAGAAACCAATGTGAAAGGGCTTCTACTAGTCAAAGATAGGAAATTTTAGTTTCAAAAGGATAATGACTTAAATGGTTTAAAATAAAATATAGAAAAAAGTGTTAAGTTCATAATGATACTCAAAACAAAAAACAAATCACCGGTCATATAAGAGCACAACTTATTATTCTGAAAATTGATCAATAAGAGAAGAAAACTCCTATACTAACTATATTTCAGGGGAAACAAATGATAGAATAACATTCTACTCTGTAGAATAATTTCAGTTAATGAATTTATTTATTTATTTATTATTATTTTTTTTTCACCCAAGATGGAGTCTTGCTCTGTCACCAGGCCTGGAGTACAGTGGCACGATCTTGGCTCACTGTAACATACACTTCCTGGGTTCAAGCAATTCTCCTGCCTCAGCGTCCCCGGTAGCTGGGATTACAGGCATGCATCACCACACCTGGCTAATTTTTGCATTTTTAGTAGAGATGGGGTTTCACCATGTTGGCCAGGCCGGTCTCAAACTCCTGACCTTGTGATATGCCTGCCTCGGCCTCCCAAAGTACTGGGATTACAGGTGTGACCCACCGCACCCAGCCAGTTAAGGAATTTAGAAGGAATCAGAGAATTAGGAAAACCACCATTTTGCAACCCCTAATGAAAACAATGAATCTAGGTGATGTATTCTTCCCAAAAATAACAGCAGGAATCTCACTAAGCCTCTAGATCTAATTAGGAGTTCGCAAAAAATAAGGATGGAACAACATGTTAAAAGACACACAAGGATGCAATCAGCCATATCCAGATTTTAGACTATTTTATCAAACTAAGAATTTCATTCCTTCAACAAATAAATGGAAAGGCAAAGGAAAAAAAAAGCAGGGAAGAGCAAACTGTGACATTACAACAAAATATACAGCAATGTGCCTGCCTTGTATATTAATCCTAATTTGAACAAAGCCAACTGTAAAATGATATTTTTGAGATAATGAGATAAATTAACTACTGGATAAATGAGAGGGTATTATAAAGTAACGGTTAATTTTGTTAGGATTTTAATACTATTGTGTTCACATTATTAAGAAAGGTATTATTTCAGGAGGCCAAGGCAAAGATATCATTTCAGGCCAGGAGTTCAAGCTCTCAACATAGTGAGACCTTGTCTCTACTTTAAAAAATATATTTTTATGAAAAAAGAAAAAGAAAGAAAAGAATCCCCTACTGTAAATTGCAGACTTCAGTTAATAAAAATCTAAGACCGGGTGCGGTGGCTCTCACCTGTAATCCCAACACTTTGGATGGCCCAGGCAGGCGGATCTCCTGAGGTCGGAGTTCGAGATCAGCCTGGCCAACATGGCAAAACCCTGTCTCTACTAAAAATACAAAAATCAGCCGGATGTGGTGGCACACACGTGTAATCTTAGGTATTCAAGAGGCTGAAGGAGGGGAATTGCTTGAACCTGGAGGACGGAGGTTGCAGTGAGCCAAGATCAGGCCACTGAACTCCAGCCCGGGCAACAGGGTGAAACTCTGTCTCAGAAAACAAAAGCAAAAACAAACAGACAAAAAAAAAAACCTATCAATATTGGTTCATCAATTGTAACAACTGTATCACAAGAATGCAAGGTGTTAATAATAGTAAACACTGGATAGGGAGTCTGTACACAGAAACTTTACATTTTCTACTCAATTTTGTGTAAACCTAAAACAGTTCTAAAAAGTAAAGTCCAGGTCCAGATACAGTGCCTCGCGCCTATATTCTCACCACTTTTGGAGGCCAAGACAAGAAGACTGCGTGAGGCCCAGAGTTCAAGACCAGCCTGGGCAAAATAGCAAAACTCCATCTCTACAAAATTCTTTTTAAAAAAATTAGTTGGGCATAGTGCCATGCACCTGAAGTCCCAGTTTCTCAAGAGGCTGAGACAGAAGTATTGCCTGAGCCCAAGAGTTCAAGGTTGCAGTTAGCCATAATTGTGCCACTGTACTCCAGCCTAAGCAACAGAATGAGAACATGTCTAAAAAAAGAAAAAGAAAGTCCATTAATTAAAAAAGGAAAATCTGAGAACACGGGTTTCCTCTCCAATGAGTCTCCATCCAATCCATTCTTAAAACTGGTCACCTAAGGAAATTCTACAACCTGTTATTTCACTTTTCAAAATACAGATACCACACATTTCCCTAATGCTTAACACAGCTACTTCTAATTCATTCTTACATAAAAACTTTCATACACTTCTTTTTTTTTTTTTTTTTTTTGTGGCAATGGATAAATGGCCAAAACTTTCTATGCTTTAGTAAGTACAAGTTAATGGGGCCAGGCTCAGGGGCTCACATTTGTAATCCCAGTACTCTGGGAGGCCAAGGCAGGTGGATCCCCTGAGGTCACAAGTTCAAGACCAGCTTGTCCAACATGGTGAAATTCTGTCCCTACTAAAAATACAAAAATTAGCCAGGCATGGTGGCACAAGCCTGTAGTCCCAGCTACTAGGGAGGCTGAGGCAGGAGGATCACTTGAACCCAGGAGGCAGAGGTTGCAGTGAGCCGAGACTACGCTCCAGCCTGGGTGACAAAACAAGACCCTGTCTCAAAACTGAAACAAAAACAAAACAAAACAAAAAACAAGTTAATGGATTCACAAAATCATCAATCATCAATGAAGCTCTCACAGGCAAAGTAATGTCTGCCAAATTTTCATAAATCAAACACCCCATACCCCAACTTCACACATTCTCTTACTAGGAACTAGGAACACAAATCTATAAAACAAAGTAGATTTATCTATAAAGAATATTTTCATTACAAAAACAAAGGAGCCCCCATTTGTTAGACAGAGATACATACTCAAAAAATTATATGATGGCTACAATTTTTTTAAAGTACTCCAGAAATGTGGAGAAAAAATGTATTAGGAATAGTATATATTTGCAACAATATTGGCCAAAATGCTAATACTTATTAAGACTGAGCTTTGAATACATGAATGTTTCATTATATAATTCTATTTTGGTGTTTAAATTTTTCATAATAAAAAATTAGGGGAAGGGACTTCCAGTTCCACAAGTGAGGCACATGGAAGCTGCCACACCATT